AACTTGGGCCAGTGAAGCAACGTCTTCCACAACTAGACTGAAGAACAAAAGGACAGCAACTTGTCTGTTCCCCTTCCCTTAATTCCCCAGCGCTGTTCCCATCCCCCAATTCCCCAATAAAAAATCTTAAAAAAACAAAACAAAACAAAATAAAAAACAAAGTCGTTACCCATAAAGCTGACATTTATATAATTTTTTATTACAGTATTTTTCATAAATTAGGTATATTGATTAGGCTATGCTTATACTTGGGGGGAGAATCATTTTTCTTTAAATTCAAGACCCTACTGTTCCCATAGTAAGTAGTGAAGAAGTACTGCTTTAAGTGACGTCTGAAACAACAGTTCCTAAAAATGTAGTTCCTCAAAACCATGGGTGACGAGTTGAACTGATTTGTATGGAATGGAGAAGTACATAAAGTTATAAAATGTGACTTGATAAAAGTATAATAATTATAAATCCCTCTCCCAAGGTTTCCAGCTTTTTTTTTCAAAAAACAGGTGACACCTCTGCGTAGTCAAAGAAAGTAATAAAGATCATAAACTCATTAAAGATGGGAATCATATATATGTACTTAGTACAGCGCCTTTTACAGAAGAGGTGATTCAATAAATTGACTGAATTAAAAAAGAAAAAAATCCTGACGCTTTATCTACTCATAAGGGTTACCTACAAATATGCAGTAAACAGATTATTTTATATACAACTTTCAGAACAATAACTCTAGTCCTTACAGAAGAGTGAGCATAAGAACACGCCATTTTTAAGACTCCAACTTATGCATTAGTCACATTTTAAATCTTGTTTATAGAAAACCCGACACTTCATTGTCAGACACATTCTCTACAACATGGGTGGCTGTAAAGAATGTGTCTGACAATGAACAGCATTTCACGAGATTCACTCCAAGCAGTAAAACAGCAAGATTTCATTCACCAATTGGCACAAAACAAGCCACTGAAGAACACTTTTCTGAGCCTACCTTCTGACCAGACTTCTTTTCCATCTACAGAGACTCCAACCACTATGCCAGGGGCGCCCACCTCATCCTAAGAGCCAAGTGGAAAGGGAACAGGCAGTTCAAAGACAGGTCGAAATACCTCGCGTATCCACCAGCGCTTTCACCTGGACCACTCTGCAGGCTTCGCCCCGCCCTCTCCACCTGGGCCCCGCCCACATCGGCTCAGACCAGACCTGGCGCTAACGGTGCAGGGTGTGCCGGGCTAGCACCCAGACTGGGAAGGGGCGGTCCCCGAGGAGGGCGGTGACCTCCGCCCCCGACTTGGGCAACCCCCCAAGAGCGCCTTTCCGAGGCCGGGAGGTCGGAAAACGGGAAGTCTTTCTCGGAAGCTGACCGCGGGCATCCCACCGCCCGGGGTGGGGTCCGCTCGGCCCGGGAAGATGACCACCGAAGGGCCCCGTTCCGGGTTGACACCCAGGAATGGGGAGCCGGGTTCCGGGTCGCCTCCGCCTCCTCGTCGCCGCACCTTAATCCTGTGCAGCAGGTCACGGCTGCTGTCGATGGCTCTGGCGAAACGCCTGGAGATGGGTGGCACCGGGGTTTGCGGAGACCACCCGGCGAGGGACTCCTCTGGCGGCGGCGGCCGCTCGGCTTGAGGCGACGCCTCAGGGTCGGGGGCCGCGGGGGGCGGCGTGGGGACTGCGCCCCTAAGCCCGCCCGCCAGCTTCACCCCGAGCGCCAGCCCCAGCCCCAGCCCCAGGCCCCCGACCCAGCCGGGGCCGAGCTGCGGCAGCCTGGCGCGCTGGTGAGCCCCGCGCCGCCCGCAGCCCCAAGCCCACACCCCGCGCGTCGCGGCTCGGGCCGTTACGGCTGACAGGAGCCGGTGCATGGCGTCTGTGGCGAGCCGGCAGCCACCGAGCTCGCACTGACCCGGGTGGGTGCAGACGCGCTGAGAAGGAGGGGAGAGGAGGGGAGGGGAAGGGAGGAGAGGGGGCGGTGACGGCGCTCAGACCCTAGTAGTCGAGGCCCGATAGCCGGAGCGCCGATCACATCGAGCCCTTCGTCCTTTCCTCTTTTTCTTTTTTCCTTGTCTCTTAGTATTTTTTCATCTTTTCCCCCAGCTCCCTTTCCCCATCTGCCTACCCCCAGATCAAGGGCCACCTCCTTAGAGAAGTCTTCCTAGTCTGTCCCCTTGGGAGTTTTCGCCACACCCTGACCGCCAGTGCGCACACTTCTTTAGTAACACTTGACACTTTGTTTCATTGAACGAATGTGATTCCTTACTAGTCTGGGATCTCTCTAGAAAGCAGGGACTTTTACTTTTGGATCCTCAGCTCTTGGAACAGCGCCTGGCACATTGCCTCAGCAGGCATCTCCTTTTCCCTCAGAACCCACTTTTCTCTCTCTTGTCATCTCCATTCTTTATGTCTCATTTCAGCTCATAAGACCCTTTTAAAATCTAGTACTTCCGAAGGTCTAGCTCCACACAACATGAAACATATTGTTACATCCAGGCCTTACATTTAAAAAAAATTTTTTTTTGCTGTAAAAAGTTTTTAAAATAATTTGCACTTGAAATTTTTTAATAAAAAAACCCCCTCATATAATTTAGCTATGGTTTCTGACATCTGTAGATGATCAGATATTCTTGTGAAATAGTAAATGTAACCTCAAATTGCTACAAAATGTAAAACGTGTGTAATCCTAATTGAACAATTAATAACTGTTAATTTTGAAGATAAACATTCACTCCAGTTTTTCAATTTGTCAAAATACTTCAGGATACACACACACACACACACACACACACACACACATTTCTGAAAGATTTTTGAAAGCTTGTTGGCCTTAGGGGCTAGGGCAATATAACCCAATGTATAAAATCCTGTCTTTCCTTGCAGGTGGAATATATACAGAATTCATAGGCTTGAATTGACAGACTATTGGCAGGAGAAAAAAAACTGTAAACATCTTGAGCTAATAACTGTTTAACTGGAGGAAAAGGCAATAATGGTAACCACACCTAGTCAGAAAATACTAGGGCTAAATAATTATAAGGGGCTGGGGCTGCTCTCAAAGCCCTCAAGCCCTAAGAGATCAGGGTATCCTAGGACTCAGGGTTTGGTAACGGAATTCACAGAGGTCTCTAGAGCACCACCTGCAGTTAGCATTGACAGTTACACGCTGTCAAAATGGTGTTGGAGGTTCCTATCATAGGGGCCCCACTACTCCAAGCATATGACAGTGAGAGAAAACAATATAAAAAGAAAAATGTAAAAGACAGCCAGTGGTAATTACAATAAGTGCTCACTTTATCATTCCTTTTATAACTGTATTCTTCTGTACCTCTCCTCGGATCAGAAATGGAATAGAAACACAGAACCATAGAGAGAGCAAAAACCAAGGTCTGGGTGGACTTCCACCAGTTTAGAAGCAGGTAGAGGCCACCCAAAGTATGGCTTCTGTGAAAGTAACAGAATAAATGTTCTCCACGCAAGCCAAGAGCCTAAGAGACAACCTGACCAAGCAGCTAGCAGACACGTCGGTGGGATCTTTACTACCATAGTAAGGCAGGAGCCCAGAGCTCCAATATTTTAGCTGGCTCTGGACTGAGAGACACAAAGCTAGCTAGATGAAAAGTAAATCACTAGACAGGAGAGGANGATCCCACATGAGGGCCAGTGACGCTGCACCCTCTACAGCTAGGATGGTGAACAACAGCTCGACCTGGAGCTAGGCTGCCATGAGTTGCTGGTGACCGCATAGGCTGCAGCAGGGCTGCAGTGGGCTGCCATGAGCTACCATGAGTGCCTGGCAGCCAGCGTGAGTGGCCGGCAGCCAGCAAGAGCTACCGTGAGTCGCGATGAGCGGCCGTCCAACAGCAGGCAACAGAGTGCCTCACCCAGGAAGAGCGCAATGATAATATCAACATGGGCCAGTGAAGTGACACCCTCCACAACTAGACTGAAGAACAAAAAGGATAGCAACTTGTCTGTCCCCCTTCTCCGATTCCCCAATGCTGTTCCCCTCCCCCAATTCCCCAATAAAAAAATCTTTAAAAAAAAACACAAAGAATCCCATGCAACCTGTTAAGCCATTTAACATGTCATTTGTCAAATGAACTGTGGGTTTCATTACCTTTTCACCCTCATATTCTTTTTCTGGGAATTCAGGAACATAATGTTGTACTGGAATATCAAGATCCAGTTTCCCTGCTTCCCACAATTTGGCAAGAGCAACCATGGTGAGGCTTTTGCTGATACTGGCAATTCTCATAACCGTCTCTGGTTTGCATGGTACACGGTTCTCAACATCAGCATAACCTAAACCTTTGGGGGAAAAAGAGCAAAAAATCACTATTAATAAGCTTCATGGTCAAAAGAATCTTGAAAAACTGAAATAATACTATTTTAAAACATCCTGTGTAGTTATCTAAAGCAAAAGATATTCCACTTTTATAAGTTAATGAAACTTAACATGTAAGGGATGACAGTTTTAACAACATCGATAACAGTTAAGCCTACAAATTTAACCTTATAATTAAACGGATTTGTACCTTGGGCACAATAGCAACTTTCCATCTGGTTTAAACACTAATTTTTTTTAGCTTATCTAAACGATTTGGTTATTCTACATTTTAAATCAATTACTTTACGTATTGTTCTTCAGATTATATTTATTCTTGATTTTTGAGTGAGTTTCCACTGAATTCCTTAAAATAGCCATCCAATAAAAATAAATGTGAAAAGAGGCCCAGCAAACCCAGTCTAGCTAACTATCCATTCAATTCAGCTGCAAACCAGAAGAAAAACAATGTGCTGCTAATTTAAAGCTCCTTCTAGAAAAAATTTTAAGTTTGGTTTTCTCTTCTGGACAGGCTGAAAGTGTAGAAATCTAAGAGATACAAAGAACTGAGATCGAAAAAGAAAGAAAAAGTGCACAATGATTGTTTTTAAACTGTAAATGTGGATTATGCTAAAAAATATTTGCATTAAAAACAAAGTATTTGGGGGCCGGCC